ATATGCGTTTTTGCTGCCTGTTGCAGCGCTCTAGCGCTGCACGGCAAAAACGCATAAAAACCAGAACAATTAAATATGTTGCTGACCATTTCCTGGAAATCCAAAAACATCAAAAAATACCCTTGGAAATTTCAAGCCCTTAACAATTACTACCTTTCTCGGACTGTACACGACATTTCACAGAACCGATTGACTTACCTTCAGCAACTTTTCCAGCGTTACGAGCAGTAGGAGGCGGACTGTACTTGTTGCCGGTGTTGTAGAGATGTTGTCGAGGAGCTTGGTGTTGCAGCGGGTAGCGAGTGAACCTTGGTTGTGGGCCATCACGCTTGCCAGGCCCTTCGACCTCAATCTCGTGAAGGACTCGGGACGTCGGGAAATAGAACGATGAGCCACGCGTCAGCAAGGGAATACGCGGCCTGCAGCAAACAGTTCGTCAAAAGAACACTTCATCCAGAAACAATAAATTATGTTGTTGGAAGGAACTTATGAGATTCGAAATAATAAGGAACTCTCAGCCGCCACTTTCACGCTACAGTCGATGGCTCCATTCTGCTATTGAAAAAACCGTTCCTTGCGGACATTAAAGCAGGAGCAAGTAGCGCTGAGCTCGCGCTCAATATCGAGGATTTCTTCAGAGGAAAACAAATCTCTCTACAGTTTGTTCATTCGTTTCGATGGTAAATTGGTACTGTCACATGCCAGTGAGTCAAACCGACATCAGCTTGCTTGTAAGCAACCCTCAGGAGAGGAAGTCATGGACAGCTCTGCCAGTGGATGGTTTCACTTGCTACCACTCGGACTATTTCTGGACAATAAACACAAAGTATATTTTTGTTCTTGAATAAATAGCTATTTTTATGCCTGACTCGATGATTCCAAGTTACTGAAAAAAAAACTCGATACCACGATAATTTGTTGATTTCCAGCATAAGCCTGTCTTCAAAAGCTACTTATAAAGCAGCCCCAGGAAGTAAGGAGAGAGTATTAGAAGCCTTGCTAGTGAATAACCTCTACTGATAATGAGTAAACACTTGAGCCTTACAAGTGCCCCAGTATTCCAAAATGAATGAATACG